AAAAAAAAAAAAAAATTTAGTACAAGGAAGTGCAGGGAATACAGGGTCTCACTACACAAATCGGACTCGTAGTGATCCTTCTGTTGTCAGCCTCCCAAGCGCTGGAATTACAGGTGTGTGCCACCACACTTGGCAGATTCTGTGAGTTCTCAGCTTTAAATTTTTACCAGTTATCTTAGAACTGCTTCTGAAAAACAGAGATAGGACCCTCTGAACTGTTATGGCCAAGTCATCCTTTGGTCTCTTCAGGGAGTTGATTGCCGGAACACAACCAGCTCACACCGCCTCCCACTGCTCTCCTGCACTATACCCCCCTTTGCACTGAAATCAGCAGAGGCTCAGGTGTCTTGCATACAGCCGCACAGTATTTGCACATGTCACATGTCTGTCCTCCCACGTAGTACTCCTAAACATGAGTTAGTAAGGGTGTTAGGTTTGGAAGCATTTTCTACCATGTTAGGTGGTACTATCATGCAGTGAGTCAAACACACGTGCCCCACACCATTTCTCTTGCTGTAGTTTAATGGAATGGGAAAGTAGAGTAGGGGTTGCCTGCTGAGAGGAAGGAACAAAAGCAATTAGGAATTAAGGTTGAATGCTGTGTGTGATCTTAACAGGCTCACCTTAATGTCGCATCCTTCTAAAGTCTAGGATAGTAAACCCAGTAACCTGTAGTTGACCTTGGGAATTAGCTTTTTGATGCATCTGCTCTCTGGTAACAGACACCCCAGATAAACAATTAACAGCAGTTTTTAACATTTTCCTGCCCTTGGCTAGCACTGTCCTCAACCAGTTATTAGCAAGCAAATTAGAGATGGCCTTCCAGCCCAGAAGTGGCTGTGTTTTGGTGACATTGTAAGCCACTGATTACCAGGCATTGTCTAATTTCCTGTCGTGAGGTAATTTTCTTTTCAGTGAATTTTGTTGGCATTGTAGTTATTGGCATTGGTGAGTGTTAGATTTAGGCAATTACTGAATTTTTCGCTACTCGTAACCTTCATTTGTCCTTTAAGAGGAAAACTGATCTGTTGCTACTTTGTGTGTCACAAGGGATTAAATTACAGTTCCTAAATAGAAGACAGACTGGCTCAGGCTGACTCCTCTGTGGAGAAATTTGGGGCTTTGGATTAGTGCAGGTAGCACTTCTAATAGGATACAGCAAAGAAGCAGTAGGCTTTGTGGTGGATGCAGAGCTGCACATCAGCGGAAGTGTGTTCTTCATGCCTGTGGTTGGCAGTGGCCCATGGGTGCCTTTCTGAAAGATAAGCTCACATCTTTTGGGCTTAAATTGCATTACCAAGGGAAATGCACAAGTGCCAAAACTTGAGCATTTTATCCTGAGTGCACCATGATTAAATGTATGTAGGAGTCAGCACTTCCAGAAGCTTCCATATACACAGTGACTTCATCTTTACAGCCTCTAATTCCACGACCTTGTAGATGAGACCCTAAAATTCAGGCTCAAGCCACCAGGGAGGTAAACTCTACCTTTGTGTGCTTTGCTCTTTCTAAAATTAAACTCGAGTTACAGTTCCACTCTTTAAGCAAAGATATGAATAGAACGAGTGCTGGCATATCATTTTCATGGAAGAGCTATAATAAATGCCATCATTGGTGTCAAACTGTCTTGTCACATAGTGGAACTCATAGTTATGTACTACCACTTGCTTGTATCTAAAAAAAAAAAAAGGAAGAAAACAACTCAGTTATGACATCAGCTTGCCTAGTCAGTCAGCAAGAAGCTGAAATTGCATAGCGTATCATTAGTGAGTACAAGGCCCTAGGTTCATTCCCAGCATCAAAAAAGCAAAAACAAAAAAAAATCCAGGAACCCAGTATTTAGTTAACTGAAAATGATATATAGTATGTAGAAGAAAAATTTGATTAAGTGTACAAATAAAATTACTTTTTAAAGTTTAAAAAAACAAAAGAAGTTAGAGCAGGGCATGGTGGCTCACCCACCTATTCTCCCAGCCCTCTGCAAGACTGAGGTGGTAGGACTGAGAAATCAAGCATGGTCTGGGGCTACTTAGGCTATTTAGTGCCTTAGCAAGACTCTGATAGATCAAAAAATGCTTAAAAGGGCTCAGGAGGGGCTGGCGAGATGGCTCAGTGGTCTAAAGCACCTACTTGGAACAAGCTTGGCAAAGCACAGGGACCGCGGTTCAATCCCCCAGCACCACATGCCAGCTAGCCCCGCCCCCTGGTGGGCTGAGCTGGCCACACACACACACACAATAAATAAATAAATAAATAAATAAATAAATAAATAAATGTTTAAAAAAAAAAAGGGCTCAGGATGTAGCCCCAGTAGTACAGAAGACCTGGGTTCAATCCCCAGTAATGAAAGAATGAAAAAAAGAGGCTTAAATTCACACAGTACAATTCTCCTAGCTAAATGTGGTGGTCCAGGCCTGTAATCCCAGCATGGAGAGGCTAAGGCAGGAGAATCTGAGTTCAAGGCCAGTGAAAGCTACTACTGAGTTTGAAGCCACTCTGAACTACAGAATAAGAACCTGTCTCAAAGAACAGCAATAGGGGCTGGTGAGATGGCTCAGTGATCTAAGGCACCTACTTAAAACAAGCTCAGCAAAGCACAGGGACCGCGGTTCAATCCCCCAGCACCACATGCCAGCCAGCCCCACCCCCTGCTGGGCTGAGCTGGCCACACACACACATAAATAAATAAAATTTAAAAATAAAACAGCAATAACGAAAACAAAACAATTCTTATAGTGTACATCCTAAGAATTGTACCTTCTTTTCTTTTGGACGGGGGCATCAGTTTGAAGATAACATTGGAAGGACACCCTCTTGGATGTGTATTAAGCCATTTGGATGCAATGTCTATAGTTTTCCTTATTGATTACTATTCTGAAGTCATTTCTGAAAGAAAGTGCCTTATGTGAAGCCCAGCACAGGCCAGAGCATTAGTCATATCTCCCTGTCACCTAATACCTGGCAACCTCGCCGTCCTGTGATTGATGGGTAAATACTTGACACTTAGGCAGGCAGGAACTGGTGCCTTAAAAAAGACGGCTATGTCCTTTTTCTTAGTTTGAGGATTTTTACATGAGGTACATGCCCCAAATGAATTCTGCTGCCCTTTAAAAAATAAAAATACAAAATCAAATTTCCTGCATAAATTCTCTGTGTTTGGATATGTTTTTCCCTGCCAGCCTTGCCTGGTGAAGAATAACATGATCTTGCTTGTTTCACAATTATTGCCCAAGTGCTGCGGTGACCGAGTTAGCACCTTCTTGCTGGCAGTTCTTGGCACCGAGACAGTGCTAGGTTCTGAGCTTGCACCATCTCTTATCGTCAGCCAAATTGAAATGTTTTGGTTCACTTGGAAAATCAAGGTTATAATTTGCGTTTACAGAATGAAATTTCCCAGCAGTGTTTTGTGATAGTCATAATGATGTAATTGGATATATTGAAAATCAACAACTTCTTCCCTTCGCTTTGTTTTTAGAATGAAAGGATTTGGAGTCTTGGTGTACTCTGCCTTGGGCTGTTGATAGCAGAGGTGTCACATGACCAAATATGTCAGCTGCCAGTGTTCACTTGATGTACGGAAGAAAAGAACATTAAGAACTGTCAGGATAGGAGGGGGAAATGTTGACCAGGGCATCAGCCTGAGGTTTCTTGTTTTTGTTTTTAATATTCTAGGAACAGAAAAAGTAGCTTCTATATCCGATCAGTGTTCTACATGAAACAGAATCTCTCTGTTAACACTGGAAACTAGACCCCGAATGTAAAAGCAGAGAAAGGAATTCATAGGTTTACCTGGTTTATAAGAAGCCATAGGGGTTAGCCAAAATCTCAGCAGTTTAAAGCGCTTGCAAGCAGGCACAGGGGCCAGGAGTTCAGTCCCTGCGCCTGCCTTGCCAGCCCCGCCCCGGGGCGCACTGAGATGGCAGTTGAGACTGGGCATGGTGGTATGTACCTATAATCCCAGCTTTTGGGAAGCTGTAAATAGGAGAATCACCACGAGTCCGATCTAGTAGTGAGACCCTGAACACCCTGTAGACCCTTCCCTAAGATAAAAATTTTTTTTAAAAAGCCATAAAACCCTTAGAGCAAACTAAACCCTTTTCCTCCTTTGTCTGTAGATGGCTCTGAGAGATTCCTCTGTGAGTCCGTGTTCAGTTACCAGGTGGCATCCACGCTTAAGCAGGTGAAGCACGGTAAGCAAGAGCACAGCGTGCTTGACTGCAGGTGACACGCAGGGCTGAGGATCCAGGCCCTGAGGCTCATGGCGTGGCAGAAACCCCAAACTCAGCATGGCTATTTAGGGGGACTTCCTAAATTCAAGAACCATTCAAGAGCTGGAGACACAGCTCAGTGGCATAGCGCCTGCCTGGAAAGCACAAGGTCCTGAGTTTGATTCCTGGTTCAAAGGAAAAAGAACCACTGAAGATCTTACTGTGGACAGTATGTCCACATTCAGGCTTAAAGCTGGAGCTGCAGGATTGGTTCTCTCAGGACTTGAGTGCTTCCTGCTCTCAGGTTGCTTTTTCCTCTCCTTTCTAAGGAAAGCTCCACATGCCGTTGTGGTCCTTGAGTGATGTCATTGTCACCCTCAGACTCTGAGGCCATGGCGGCATAGGCCTGTAGGAGATACTGGGGCTTTCTTCAGAGAAAGCAGCACGGATGGGAGAGAGCTGCAGCTGCTTCTTCCTAGGGTTGAGCACACACTGAAAATGTGCTAATATTTTTGTTTTGGTTTTGTTTACTTTGTGTGTGTGTGGTGCCAGGGATCCAACTCAGGCCTGGTACATGCTAGGCAAGTGCTCTACCACTGAGCTTAATCTCCAGCTCTGTGATAATTATATTTTTAAATTTTTATAAGACCTTGAAGCATATTTACTCTAATGTTAAATGCTATTAGTATGTGTTTGTAGTACATGGTGATTACATTCAGCACGGGGAATTGGTACATGTGCATAGCATCCTACGTCTTTTATGTTCCCTTCCCAGTCCCTCCTTCCTCCTTAAGTGCTCTTGTACATTATGAGAAACTTACATGGAGTGCAGATGTTACCCTCTGTAAGAAACTTAGTCACTGAGACTTCTGTGACATGACATGATGAAAGAAAGAACATGTAGGAACATGTGACCCTTGGTGGCTTAACATCTACAGGGAAAAGGTGCATGTTATAAACATGAGCATTTCAGCTTTCAACTGTGCAGTCAAAAGCAATGAAGGGGAGCCTGGGGGTGTAGTCTGTGGAACAGCACTTGCCTGGCATGTGTGAGGCCCTTGGCTTCCATCCCCAGTATTGCAAAAAAAACCAAGATAGTAAAGATAAATAGAAAATGAGGGCTGGGGAGATAGCTCAGTAGAATAAGCACTTGCCTGGCAAGCACAGGGTCCTGAGTTCAATTCCTGGTACTG